CGTCCCCGCTCCGGCGGCCCTTCCTGGCCCGGGGCGACCAGCGAGCCGAGCCCCGCGGAGGGCATCCCCGACCGCCCTCGGGACCCGGGGAGGTGAGTGCCGCGGGGCGCCCCGCCGAGGGGACCTGGATGCAGGGAGGAGCGGAGAAAATGGCAAATGCTGCTTGGGGCCTTCAGCCATCGCAAAGCAGGATTTTTAACTCCAGGCTTTGGGGGGGTGGTTCCTACTGCGACTTGAATGCCATGCGGTGGAACAATGTCCGTGCCCCTCTCGCCGCTCACCTGGCGCGGAGGCTGAAGAGCACTTCCTTTCCCCGCCGGACTGACGCACCCGGAGAGCAAGGACCTCGGGAGGTCCCCGCGTCCAGCCTTTCTCAGCCCCCGGTGGTGACCCAATATGAAAGGGTTGTCAACTTGAAAAATGGGTTTTTCTTTAAAGGAGAAAAACGTGGGAAACGGCAGGATTTCCCTTGCAGGCCGGCGGAGATGCAGCCCGTCAGGGGCTGCTTGAGGCCCCCACGACCCCCCTACCCCACGCGCTGCAGGGCTGGGGCCTGGAGGCAGCGGGTCAGGACTGAGAGGCGCTGGCTCAGAACTGGCCATCCATGTTCACAAATGGGTCCTTGTTCAAAAAAGGTTGAGAGCCACTGATCTAGTCCAACCAGGGGGACGAGCCCCAACTAGATCATCCCAACCAAGGCTTTCTCTAGCCCAGTCTTAAAAACCTCTAGGGATGGGAGGTTTACAACCTCCCTGGTAGCCTGTTCCAGCCCTTTTACTACCATCCTCATGAGTTTTTCCTCATATCTACCCTAAACCTCCCCTACTGCAATTTGAGACCATTGCTCCTTGTTCTGTCATCTGCCACCTCTGAGAACAGTTTAGTCTCCATCCTCTTTTGAACCTCTCTTCAGGTAACCTCTCTCTGTCTTTTCTTCTGCAGACTAAATAAGCCTAGTTTCTTCAGCCTCTCCTCATTAAGTCCCATTCCCCAGCCCTCTAACCATTTTTCTTGCCCTTCCCTGGACTCTCCAAAAAGCCGGGGGGGGGGGAAGCAAGATTTGTTGAGAGAAACAAGGCTTCCCCATGTCTTCTGTCATTCATATTTCCGCCTGCCCCAGTTTTGGGTGCCCAGCCCCCTTCTGCCAGCGAAGTGCTTCAAGTTCCTTGTTAGTTCCCTTCCCTTTCTCTGGGCCCACTGCACAACAGTTATTCACTCTTTAATTAGGAAATCCTAATGCATGGCAGCTCTCTAGTTAGCTAGTGCTGATGGTATTGTATTACTAGAAACCCTTATGCAAGCAAGTGTGTTGCCCTTGGAAGTCCTCCCTCACTAAAGTAAATTTTACTTCCGTGTAGTGCTGCTAAAGTCCATGAGAAGGTGTGTGTGTGTTAGGGTTTGCAGGGCTTGGCCTTGGCATTGTGAAGACTGGTGCCTTCAGCAACGTCTTTCGTTTTGCACATGCGCAGCTGTCATTACTCTTCCATATAACAAATGAAAAATCCACAAATAGAAATAATGGCTAAAGTTTTTCACAAGTCAAAGCTTCTAATCTTTTAATGTGTATAGTTTTAAAACTCGTATAAACATTAGGTCACCAGTATTTGGCAGGCACATTAAATGAAATCCATTAACTGTCGTACAGAAAAGCAAGAGTATTTTATTTAGGACTGTCCTACACTTTCATCAGAGAAAAAGATCCAGTTAAAGTACAGGACCCGGATTTATGTAAAGATGCTGAGCCTTCTCACTGAAGCATCCAACAGCCTAAAATATCTCATTACAAGAAGACATTAATGGTAGCTGGCTCCTAAGGATTGTTAAAATAATAGGCCAAGATCTTGGCCCCATGGACTTCCCACCTACCTCCCCACCCCCTTCACTTAAAGCAAAGTCAGACTCATTTTTGTCTCCTTTCTGAACCAAAAATGGCTTTGGGAGCAGTTACACATTTTATACCTGGGAAGATTCCTCCCCTTTCCTCTCTTCCCGTAAACAGAAATTAGTAAGTTATTTTCCATCTTCTATATGCTTAGATCAATAGAAACTTTCATTTCAAGTAATCAGCCCATGCTTACTTTATTTAGCCTTTTTAATTTATTGGAACATTTATAGGTTTCCCTTTTTCCTGTATGTGCCATGAATCTCTGTTTCTTCATGTTCCTACATCAGTTTTTATCATAATTTCTTGTCAGAAAACAGACCTATCTAGTTGCCTTTATCGAAAAATATTACATATTTACATGTATAATTCTTGTGGTTTGGTTTTTTTTTGTTTGTTTGTTTGTTTTTTTTTACTGAGATCAGACAGCACGAAACAGAAAATTAAAATGCTAGCACAATGACTTGAAAACAATGTAATTTAAAGGCTACCACTTAAATTTGGCAGAGCAGCAGTTGTGGAAATGAGATCAAGGCTAGAATATGAAGATGCACCTGCCCTCAGCTTTAGGGTACATGACAAGGATGGCTTTCATAACACGGCACAAAAAAATCACTAGCTGTAAGCTAATTTCTTTCTTTGCATGACTCCAGTAGATGTTGTTTGTGGAGGCATGTGTGTAGGCCAGGGCAGAACTTGGCTTTTATTTGAAGGGGCAGTTGCAAAAGACAAAGGCTTCATTGCCTACTTATGTCCTACAGACTTTAACATTGACATAAACTTTTAGGTCTGCACTTAAGCCTTTCTGTAGCTGTCTTTTTCTGACCTGCAAAGAATTGAGCAGTTCTGTAGCTTGACACAAGAACAGTCCAGTCCTGGTAAAATGCCTGGGCTCATTCATGCCTGTAAAAGTTGTTGTGCATATGTTTAAATCTTTGCAAGGTTGGGGCTTCATTAATGTCCTTGGTAGATGCAAGTGATGTTCCTGAGGTCCTTTCTTAGCCCTCACTCTGGAAGACTTTTAGATATGAATGAGGAGCTTTGCCTTTGTAAAGACTGCAGGTAGTAACCTTGTATGATGAACAGTACTTTTCTATAATAATTGTTTAACTAGCTTGACCAACATATATCAAAGTACATATAACAATTTGAATGATATATTCCAATTTTTTTTTACTTAAATGTTAATAATTAATATTACAAATATATACCTATATATTTCCCATCAGTACAGGATATAGTATACATAATCAACATTTTACAGTCTTCAGAATAATCACAGTAGAGAGATTGTATCATGTTCTAGGGTGAAATGGAAGGGCAAGCATATGTTAGTTTTTGGGCATGGCATTCAAAACAATAATACTATTTATTTATTTATTTATTTATTTATTTTTTTAAATTTTGAACCAGAGGGAAAGCATTTGACAAGCCTTTTGCTTAACAAAATAAATGTTACAAATGCTGCAAGTTTCTCCCAAACTTTCTTTGTTCAAATTATTTCCAAATGTTACTACATAAGTAAATAATAATGAATATTATACATTCTTTTACAGATATTAGTATAAATATATTCATATATGCTGACCATACTCTAGCTATAGATATAGATATGTCTGTCTATATCTCTGTATGTAAATATATAAATTTAATATAATATACTACTGTACTGAGATATAGTATACTCTGGGTGCATCTACATATATGTACACTTACTGTGGAGTAACTGAAATTACTGCAAAGTATGGGTGCATGTCTACACGTGCACGCTTGTACTATGTAGTAAATATGGTGACTTACACTGCCTTGAATGTAAATTTGATACCTGTATCATGAAGGTACCAAATTACACCCAATTAGTTACTCTGCAATAATGCACATGTAGAAAAACTACTGCTTAGTAACCCAGGGGGCCTCCCTTCTGGGTATGTCCAACCCCTAGGGGGCCAGCCTGAGCCCAGCCCCAGGGCTCCTGGCTGGCCATATCTCCTGGCTCAATTTGGGACTAAAGTTTAGTCCCAAGTGCCAGGAGCTATGTGGCTGGATGCTAGGGCTCCCTCCCAGTGGCCACAGGGGCACATGGTAGGCTGCTCATTCATGCCTGCAAAAGTTGTGCATATGTTTAAATCTTTGCATGGTTGGGGCTTCATTAATGTCCTTGGTAGATGCAAGTGATGGTCCTGAGGTCCTACCTGCACATGTAGACGCCAGCCTATTTCCTCTTGCTGCGCAGTAAATTTAAGATGGCATAAATGCATGTGTAGATATGCCCTGTGTGTGTGTGTATATGTAATATCAGTAGGTAAGGTTCTTTGAGTAGATGTGATATCTTTTATTAGACCAACTGAGTAGTTGGGAGTGGCGGGGAGGGGAGTTCTTGGCAAGCTTTGGGGTGCAGTCATCCTTCAGGCATAGGGAGCCTCTGCTGTTCTGAGACTTCAAGAAATATATACTAATAATGATAGTAATTAATTTACATAGTCACATAACACAATAATTCAATGTATTAATAGATTTTTCCTAATTGTATCTGCTAAGAAGCGTTTTGAATCCAACTTGTGTAGTGAATGAATGCCAAACTTAGCATTTGGATTCATAATTGTATTGAAAGACTTGTGTATCCTGATGGACTGTTGACCTAGTTCAGGATATCAGCCTTCTTTGACCTTAGGTCTGCAATAAAATTGTTCAGTAAATTACTTTGGGGAATGTCCTTTCTCTTACGTAAGCATAGTGGAAAAAATGAGGTTTAAATGTTGGAGCTAGTCTGTCCCCTGCTATACTGTAGTTTTCTTGACACTTCTTTCCCAGCATCTGCTCCCCTCTGCTTTCCATTCAGTAGAAGCTGTCCTGCACATGTGTAATCACGATGTGAGAAACTGTGGCCCTATTTAAGTCCATGTAAATTTTGTCTTTGACTCGAGTATGCCCAGGATTTTGTTCAGGGAATTTGGCCACACTGAAAGACTTTTAAGAAACTTGGATAAAAAGTGTAATACAAAAATTAGGTATTTATTATTTGAAAACTGCTCATTACGTATGACATGAAAGAGTTTATTTTTCTTAGAAATTATAAAACCAGAATAGGAAATAGTACCTAATAGTGTGATTGCTGCTATGTAGTTTTCCTAAGGATTTAGGAGTATAAGCATCTATAGTTTAGGTAAGATGGAGAAATATTCACATAGACTCATAGGACTGCACAAGTTT